CTATTCATTTTCATCAGATTAAAACTTTTTAAAGCTCTATCCTAATTATGTCTACTTCCTATCCAGCAGTTTTTCTGGACTCCACTTATAATCTTAAGAAGAAAGTCCACATTCCTTGTTCTAGTAAAAACACACTTGAACATACTACCTCAACTATAGACAAACTGAACAATCCTGAACACAACTTGTACTCTCCTGATTCTTTTCAGACTGAAATCTTTCCCCACACATCCCTAGGTATGTCGATGAAAATCCCGCTCCACTCAGTACACAGTTAAGCACATTTCAGCACAGAGCAAGGAAGGTAGTCCCTGCACTCACAGAGCTTACAGCATGGCAGTATAGACATGAAAGTACTGACAAATGTGAGAACAGTTACAAAGGGGAAACAGAGTGTAACTGAATCACAGAATAGAACCAGCTTAAGCCCAGCACCAGTTCACACCTGTAATCCTAGCTACTCAGGAGGCAGAGATCAGAAAGAAAATGGTTTGAAGCCAGCCTGGGGAAATAGTTCACAAGACACTATCTCAAAAATACTCAACATAAAAGTGGTAGAGTGGCTCAAGTGTGAGCCCTGAGTTCAAACCCCAGTACCACACACATACACACACACACACACACACAAGAATAGAACCAGTTCATCTAGTTAAAAGCACTAGGACAAGTCTTCCAGAGAAAAATCTGTTTAGTCTAAATAAAAAAAAGGGCAAAGAAAGGATTTCTCAGTGAAAAATGAAGGTAAAATGTTCTCAGATAGGAAAACAGCATGCCAAGGATTCTGAGGACAGAATGCTACATGGAAATGCCAAAGAAGTGGAAGAAGACCAGTTTGGCTGTGGCAATGAAAATATGAGGCAGAGCAGCCAGCAAACCTGGGGAAAATGGGACAACAGATAGTAGATGGCATTATATCTGGGATCAAAGTATTTATCCTGTCTGTATATGCTAGGATGTTTAAGATGTGTTTTCTTGCCACCCAGGAATCCACATTCTCCTGTGAAGAGGTAAACCTGTAGTGGGATAAGAGCCAAACTAGATATATGCACAAGTGGTTCGGAGAAAGGATTATTAACTTTTCCTGGTATACTGGGAAAAGCTTCTTAGGGTAAGTAATGCCTGAACAGAAATTTGAAAAATGAATATGGGTTCCTTAACATGACAATGACTTATTAGGCATAGGACTAAAAAGTACAAAACTACAAGGACATGAAAGCAAAACAGAAAAAACCAGCCAACCAAAACCCTATGGCTTTTCCATGACAGCATCCCTGTTGGCCCAGAGGAGAAAGTATTTTCACATGCCTCAGAATGCAGGGTCGTGAACCGTAATGGAGCTAGTCAACAGGATGAGAAAGTATGCTTGAAGAAAGGACTCACCCTCCTTTTCTCTTTTTCACAATCACCAATTGCAGGTTATTACAGTGCTTGATTTATAGAAGGCACTCTATATTAGTAAATATGCATTTATGGAATACATAAATTAATATCTGTTAAATTAAAATTAACAAAGTGATCTGCCATGTGAAGAAGAAGTAAGATACTTTTCAGGAGCTGAGAAGATGACCAAAGAAGGAAGGGCTAGATACTGAAATCCCCATGACTCCAAAAATGCAAATGGTAGGGAAGGGCTCCAAATTGAGGTACTCAGAGCTCCCTTGCAAAGGAGGTAACAAAAATGGTTGAGGGTGACACACACATAAATTACTCACTATTAAAACTGTGTAAGACTGAAACTTTTTATTACTTAAAAATCATCTACAAATATTCAGATAATCAAGAATTTGGTATAGTTGGTATCACTTCAGGCAGAGGATAAAGAATTTAATACTTCATCTCTTCTCCTTTCCCAACCTATGCACTGAATTAAAAAATATTTAAATTAACTTTAAAATGTTCTTGCAGACATTACTGAACTCTGTCCATATTAATGAATTCCAATGACATCATTGTTTCCATGGTAACTAATGCACTTCAGAAGGTAGGAAAAAAAAAAGAGAATAAGACTGAAAACTAGGGAAAATGGAATAAAGTGGAATAAACAAAGCATAACATCTCCTTTGCATTATGGAACATTTTCTGATTTCAAACACTTTAGCATTACTTAAACTCTGATGCTTTTAAAAGCCAGAGGGATCTCAGTAGTCATCAAATCCCTTCCCAATTATAAACCAAGAATCCCTTATCAATGTAGCTGCACCATGGTTGTCAAACTGCATTCAGAGCTCATTGCTACAAAGTTCTCACTCATTTAGCTGCAAACTTTACTGTGTTGTACTGTAAGCTTAAGAGATGATTAAAACATTTTGCTTGTTTTTTAAAAATTGTTTTGCAGCTTAGAAGGCAACTAATTAAAATAAGGAGAGCTATAGTAAAGATAGAAAATATGTCCAAAAACCAGAGGGAGGAACCATTAATTCCATCTTAGAATCAAGCTTGGATTGCAAACTGCAATGACTTTCATTTCTGATCCCTTTCAGTCCCACATACTTATGACCATATTCTGGACCCTGTCATGACCCAGAACCATTCCAACTCTGCAAACTTAAAGTTCAACATTACTGGTGTGATCCAAAGCAGCTCCTGTCTAATCTGCGAAGTAGTTCTATGAGCCTTATGTAGCCTGTCATCCTTCACTTGAAATACTTCTTCATGATATCTCCTTGTTAATAGCCTAAGCTTTATCCTTCAGTGGTATCCACCTAGCCACCACCTACCTGGGTTTAGTGACTGTTTCCTCTTCTCTGTTATGTTCCATAAAAAGTATCTGTCCCTCTCTCTTGGAGACTAGACAACATTTTGCCAGAATACTGTGAGATTGTTTGCCTCTTTATTTATAGGGCAGTAGTGTCAAGGGCTGCAGGTAAGGGAAAATAACATCTGAAGTAAAAGGTATATGTGCCAAACCTGGCAACTATGGTCATTAGACTCTCAAGTAGTAAAGTCCACACAGGGCATGCCCCATAGCCATTGCCACTGCCACCTGAAATGACAGCATCAGGTGAAATGGTCTGCTGATATGCAAAATGATATTACTGGGTGGGTGGGGGGGCAGAAAATTTCTGATTCCTGCTCTTTTAAAAATTTTTCCTTTAAGGGCTTCATGATGTTTTTGAGTGAGCTAGGCTTATGCTTCTACCTTCACCTTGCAGAATAAGAACTTAAGCATTCGCTTCTATGCAGACAGAATGGCTATTATCCTGATCTTGAAGTGGTCTTAACAAACCAATGGTCCTGTCATCTAATTGCTGCCAGAAAGGATTATAGATTACTTGTTAACTCAGTGTAGTAACTTTTGGTAGATAGCCCTCTTTCTTTTTTTCTGATTTATATTGTAAATCTCACATAATAGGCAATTCTACTTAGTTATCTGAGCAGCATTACTTGTACATAGCATATACAAGTAATGACTTGGTGATTTAGAGAAAAAGTTTTCTGTCAGATGCAGCAATTTGGTTATCCATTGTTTTAAAATTTTTTCCAAGCCCTAAACTACTTACTAAACACAATTTTACCCCTGCTGTGAAAATATCTTCAGACCACCTGGAAAGTTGGCATAAAGGCATCTTGTTTATTACGCTCCGCCATCTCTCCAGAGCATGTTAATCCATCCCAATGCTCCACATGTTGTCACTGCACACAGCTATGCAATAACTGGCAAGGGAGGAGAGGAGTGTAACCTCAACCCCTCTACAACACTATTTGGTATTTTTCAAAAACTCCCTGAGAGATAAACATCTATGAAAGCTTCCCTGAGAGTCCATTCATTCCAATACATTCTTGGATCTTCTTATTCTATGTCATGGTCTCATTGAAGAAGCAAAGGAAAATTATAAATTCTTTTCATACCAAAAGAAACACATGTGAGCATAGCATTTGTGATGGGAAGGTGAAGGAGACAGAATTATGAGACCCTGAAGCTAATCGACAGGCTGAAGTTTAAAAAGCTCTGTTGTATAAGCTCCAAAACCTATTCTTGAAGTAAGCAAGCCCCTGCAATGCTTGCTCTAACTACCCTCTGGCACAATGCCCTTGCTCTTGTTGAGGTGCACAACAAGGAAGAACCTTCTGTTTACTGTAAAGAAGGTGATCACAGTGTGTTCAATACATATACAGCTTCTTCTTTAGAAGAACCTAGCAAAGGGTACCTCTCTGGTCTCAGCTGTGTTTCTCTCTTCAGCATCCAGCACTTTTCCTACTATGGACAGTGTTTTAATGATACCAAGTTTCTTTTCCCTTGTCTGCTAGAAAATTCACAGCATCTTTAATTTCCTTAATGGCATGCCATTTGTTTAGTAAATTTACTTTTTACTCCTTCTGGTTGTACTTATTCTTTATCTATTTTTATTTTTCACCTTGTTTTATCTTGTCATATTGTACAGAAAATCTCAAAATACCTTTTAGAAGAAGGTAGGTTATCAATGAGCTAAAATGTAGGAGGACAGAAGGAAAAAGTAATCTTTTTATCATAGTCTACCTACCTAAATATGTCCTAAAATATTCTTATTTTATCAGTGAGAGCAATAAGTATTTTGAGAGTTATAATACTTCTTCATGAAATTCATACCAAAAGGTCGTTTCAGAATTATTCTTGACTAATATGTAGATAGGTTTTTGCCTATAAGTGCATTTTTAAGGTAACCATAAACATGAACTAGGAAATTTTTTTTCTTTTTGTGGTACTGTGGTATGAACTCAGGGCCTTGTGTATGCTAGGCAGGCACTCCATCACTTGAGTCATGCTGCCAGCCCTTTATTGCTTTAGCTATTTTTCAGATAGAGAGCCTATCTGGGGCCAGTCTCAGACTTTGACCCTCCAAACTTGGACCTCCCAAGTAGCTGGAATTACAGGCATGAACCACCACACACAGCCTTAACTAGGAATTGCATAAAGATTTCTGCACAGGAGTAATTTAAAACTTAGATTATATTTTTCAATTCCTTGCTTCTTCAGTATTAAGGGCTTCATATTTCTCAACAGTGGAGCTATAAATGCTTACAGGCACATGGACTTTTCGAAACATCTCGGCACCCTTGTGTGCATCAATCAATGCGATGTCCTGGGGCGTGGAGACAATCACAGCACCTAACCAAAAGATAAAGAAAATGATGCTTTCTCTTAATTCTTCACAGAATGATTACATGACATTACTTACATGGTCAAATAGCCTACTATATTAACTAGACAATTCACAGAAATTTTACATAAATAAATAAGCAAGATGAGGACATACTTGCTCTTGCCTACCTCTCACTCTTTACTTCTAAAATCAACAGCAACTGATTCAAGCACTGCTAGATCACTGGAACCCCTTCTCATTCCGAAAATGTGCTAGGCAAACAGTTGCACCATGCAGAATCAAGAAGTAAGTTTCCCTTACTTGGGAAAAAATATAAAACAAGGGTTATAACATAGTTACAACTGTTTTGATTTTTTTTTTAGTTTGGCATGCCTATATTACCATGTGTTTTGTGATTACTTGGTTCTCTTTCCACTTTTCTCTATTTTAACTTCTTTATAATATCAGATAATACTCTGTAGTATCATTTGACCTTCACTTGATGTAATCAATTATTTGTTTTAATCCCTCCTCTGTTTCATTAGCTGTGTCAGCCATTTGATCTATAATATGTTCATGCTATTTATTTTTTTTTGGTTATGATCTAGAATAAACCACAGAATTTAAGACATTCACAGATTCTGCCAATCATAACCAGGACTTTGTAGCTACCAATTAAAGAAAAATTATTTATCTAGTTAAGTACCTTTTCTACAGAAATAAATTAATGTAGGTATGGAAATGGGAATTACTTTTCCTTTAGAAGGAGGGTTTGTATTCATTACTCAAGTTTGAGAGACACCAGCTTGAGAACTCAAACACATCAGGATTCAGTTTGCTCTTATAGATAACTACCCGTGTGACTAGGTAATCACTTAACCTATCTGGAGTTTTAGTTCCTTCATCTACAAAATGATACAATAATACTGAGATCTCAAGGTTGAATTAATAAACTACTACCCAGGTGCTTGATATAATGCCTTATATTCAACAAATGATAGCTTCTGAATATTGTTGCCATTACTATATTTATTGTTGATATTAATAAAATGCCTTAGAAATTGCTGGGAAGATCATTTTCTTATAAGCCATCAGGCAGCCGTCCTACTTTTCAAACTGTTCCATGGATTATTATATCCTCCTATTTTGATTTATTCTAAAAAACCAAAAACCAGCCAATAGTCATCTTCTCTCTCTTTTAAAGACTGATGGAAATCACATCTCTGAAAAAATTATACTCTACACACCCAGAATATTTTCACAGTCTGTCAACTTCTAGATTCTGTTAGCAATCTTTTTTCACATCCAGTCATTTGGAAGGAACTAATTCTAGTTTTGGCCCCTTCTAGATGTGACTAATTGGGCAATAAACTCAGAATCACTCTGGGTCTCCATTTCCTTCACTAAAATTAGTGCATCCAAGGTCTCCTGTCTCTGATTATATGACTTAGCATCCCTCTTAACTGTAAATGTTTCTGAAACCACCTCTGCTCAACCTTATTGTCCTAATAATTTTATTTAAGTGAATGTGAAATGCTGCTTCCTCTAAGCAGTACCGCTTCAATCTCAGAGCGTTTTTTTCATACATAACCATGAAACCTCTTTGGCTAGTTCTTCCATATCCTCTCTTTAACTAGATACAAGTACAAAGGCAGTTTTCTACTGGCTCTAAAAAGTACTCTGAATATTTGTATGATATAAACATATTGTTACTTTACATATTCTTTCCTACCATTTGTATCAGTATCAAATGAAACAGCTTCATGGATTATGGTTTGTATGTGGTTTGTCCCCCATGGATTTATTTGTCGGAGGCTTAGTCCTCAATGTGGTGGTGTTGAGTGTTAGAACCTTTAAGAGGTAAGAACTTGTGGAAGGTAATTAGATCACTGAGGGTGCTATCCTCAGAAAGGGTTCAGGCACTTCTTGTGGGACCACAGTTAATTCCTGCAAAAGTGAATTGTTATAAAAGAGAGAACGTGACCCCCGACTTCTCTAGCTCTCTTCTCACCATGTCATTCCTCCTTCTTGCATACCCCACCATGATGCCTTCTACTGTGACGTGATGCAGCACAAGGAGCCCTTACTAGAGGCTGAACAGATGGAACTACCTAATCATGAACTAAATAAGCCTCTTTTCTTTATAAAGTATCTAGCCTCAGATATTTCATTATAGCAATGGAAACAGCCTAATACAATAATAGGCAGTTGTGTTTATTTTCATCTTTTTATCAAACAAAACTAATGACATAATACCTTGCACATAGTAGGCACTTAACAAAAGATAGGTGATCTAAACATTTTTCTTATATTGTTAGAATCATCTATCCTAGAATACTTTTAGTTGATAACTTCTTAAACTAAAAGTCAAAGTCTCTGAATTCTGGTTTTGTTTATGTGTTATAGAACACTGAATAACTCACTACATTAAATCTCAAAAGACCTCAATTAACTCTTCTATAAAATAAACCTATATCCATTGGCCCTATTTAACTCAAAGAGCTATTCCATTTTAAAAAATGGAATGTAAATGTGTTATAAAACTGTTCAGTGCCATCATTTTGATAGCTATCTGATCCAAGAGAGAGGGATTAAAGTGACTTGGTTTTCTCTGCATCCATTCCATGAGTTTCTGTGTGGAGAGGTCTGAATAGCACCATTTAAACACAAATTAATAACTTTTGACAAGGACAACAATCATCTTCCATGTTTCAACAAATGTTCATATACCATGTAAACGCTTCATTGGAACTGCCAGCCACATTTGTAAAAGATATTTTGGTGGAAATATTTTACGCTAAAATACATGTTAATTATTAAGTTCATAATCACAACAAAATCAGCCCTTGGGATACTGTACTGGTCTCACATAGATCACTACCTCTCTTGTACTAAAATTTTGTATATCATGTAAGTAACCATTTTCAAACAGCCTACAATGACATTTAAAAATTATGAGAAAGAAATAATGCATAAATGAGCATCAAACAAAATCTCTAATAAATTACATTTAATCCTTAATATTTTTTATTTTCTACACATTACCTAAAATTTTAACTTTTAAAGGAACTCTGATAATTTTTTCTTATTAATGTATCTCACAAGTTAAAATAGTTTTCAAAATCTGATGTTACTTTTTATCTTTATGCTCTTGACTTTCTACTTGGTAATTTTTAACTTTTGTCATGACTCATGAAACATGAACCAGTATGAACTGGCCTAGAATTCTCTCCTTTTATATCAGTACTAATGATGTTACTTCAGTTTTGTGAGGGTTTGTTAGAAAACTTGTGCTCCCTCTACTGACCATAACGAAATGTCGGCAGTAGCAAAAAGAAAGTTTAATTTGTAATAAATGTGATGGGTATGGGAGTGGTGTTACATGTCCCATTAAGAGTTCTCTATTCATTTTCTAGGGTACATGTCTAAGTCCAAACAATTAAATAGCATTAAATATATTTCCTAACTTGTAATCTTTTTAAAAGGTTTTTTATCAGCTGAGATTTACTATCAAAGGTTAACTATCTGGCAGATTCTGACAAACATGCAAGCATTTTATATAATAATTATTTAGAGTATTAAAATAATACTTAACAAACAATTGTTAATTCTTTTGACTATTCAGAGGAAAAAATCTATAACTGCATATCTGGATTTGGATCAGAGTTCACAGTAGTTAAACATTTAAGACTAATTATTCCAGACATTAGGTTGATCATAATTATACCAGCATGGAACTACTCAACTATGTATTCCAGCCTCCAGGGCACAGAATGCATCTAATTCCCATGCTTGATTGAGAACCTCAGTGTTAGAACCTAATAAGCGTGTATAACAAAACCTGCTCAGAATTATACCTGGAGGATTAATTCTATACCTTACAACTACTGAGTGCTTCAATGTAAAGCCAACTAAGAACGACAAAAAAAAATTAACTGCTATTCTTAATGTTCACAGTGCTTTCAATATTTAGTATTGCTGATTCTCCTATATTTAGCGATATGCATGCAGCAAAAGAAAAGAATGAGATGCTGGGATGTAGCTCAGGAGTACAGTGTGTGCTTAGCATGCACAAGGGCCTAGGTTTGAACCCCAGCACCACAAAAAAGGAAAAAAGTTGAAAAAAAAGAAAATAATTCAACTTCTGTGGCTTCACATAAACAATGTTAAATCTATTTTCAATTTTTGTTAACTATAAAGTAAATTGGCTTTGGTATTTTTTTCCTATCTTTTCCCTCTGTCACATCTGAACTTCTTGTATGATAAATATTATTTGCTGTAAAATAAGGAATAACCACTAACATTACTCTCCTCTTAAGTAAAACATGATTTAAAGGTAAATTCACCTCAATTGTACTCACAGTCTCTGCTTCAATAAGAAATAAAAATAATTCTTAGGTGAATAACTGTTTTGGACTCTATGTTCTCTTACAACAGAGTTAAGAATTAACTATAGTCACAAAAGGGATGTTTTGTGATTTAAGCATTAATCATTATTTGGCTTGTCTCAGAAATAAATTTTGCTAAATTATGTTAATTGATGCTAATAAGAATTGTCAAACCAGTAACTACTGGAAACCACAGTATTTCAAAGTTACTGATGGGAGAGTGCATGGGTACTTTGGAACTTTAAGAATTCAAGTTCAACAATAGAATCTGGATACTTATCTACTGCTTAAGGACAAAGACTGATTCTTCAATATAACTGATTCAATAGATAATGGGCTTCTAGTCACTTCACCTTACTGATAAGAGAATTTAACCAGAGCTACTCAGGCTGTGTTCACTAAAGAATCGGTGGGAAAAAATGAAACTTCCACAGGTTTAAAGAGTGTAGGATGACATTGACGCAAAAATCCTCAACAAAATAATGGCAAACTGAATTCAACAACACATCAAAAAGATTATTCACCACGACCAAGTAGGCTTCATCCCAGGGATGCAGGGGTGGTTCAACATACGAAAATCAATAAACGTAATAAACCACATTAACAGAAGCAAAGACCAAAACCACTTGATCATCTCA